AACTAACCAGAAAAAATAATTCAAACCATTTTAACTCTGCCCTGGGAGTTGGAAGAAGAATTATGACGTCTCGTGATGAAAGCCGAGTTCCCTCGGAAGTCACGGGGCCGATGCCTCTTCTGACAACCAGAGCAACCATTTTTTTAGGTACATGGAACGTTCGTACATTGTGGGAGACTGGAAGACTATTTCAAGTTGCAGCAGAAATGAAAAGATACAACCTCGAGGTGCTCGGCATCAGTGAAACACATTGGACACAGGTAGGACAACTGAGACTTGCTTCAGGGGAACTGCTGTTATACTCTGGTCATGAAGAGGAAAACGCTTCACATACACAAGGAGTTGCACTGATGCTGTCCAAACATGCACAAAAGGCACTGATAGGATGGGAATCTCATGGGCCGAGGATCATTAAAGCATCCTTCAAAACAAAGAAAGAGGACATTACAATGAACGTCATCCAATGTTATGCACCTACCAATGACTACAATGACGACGTTAAAGATCAATTCTACGAAAGGCTGCAGTCAGTCGTCGATAAATGTTCACCAAAGGATTTGACGATTCTTATGGGAGACCTGAATGCCAAGGTTGGAATGGACAACACTGGATATGAAGACATCATGGGACGACATGGACTGGGAGAAAGGAACGAAAACGGTGAGAGATTTGCAAACCTATGTGCCTTCAACAAACTGGTCATCGGTGGCACAATATTCCCGCACAAACGCATTCACAAAGCCACATGGATTTCACCGGATCACAATACTCAAAACCAAATTGACCATATCTGTATCAACAAAAAGTTCAGAAGGACCATGGAGGATGTGAGAACCAAGAGAGGAGCTGATATAGCTTCAGATCACCACTTGCTGATCGCCAAAATGAGATTGAAGCTAAAGAAGCACTGGACAACGGGGCAGACAACATCACAGAAGTTTAATACGGCCTTTATCGGGATACCGTAAAACTCAACGAATTCAAGATAGCCCTCACCAATAGGTTCCAGGCCTTTCAGGATCTACTCAATGGAGAGGAAGCAACATTGGAGAACAATTGGAAAGGGATTAAGGAGGCAATCACTTCAACATGCCAGGAGGTTCTTGGTCGCGAGAAGCACCATCACAAGGAATGGATCTCTGTTGGTACTCTTGAAAAAATTGAAGAAAGGAGGAACAAGAAGGCAGCTATCAATGTCTGCCGAACAAGAGCAGAGAAAGTTAAGGCGCAAGCCGAGTATACAGAAGCAAACAGGGAAGTGAAGAAGAGCATCAAAGCTGACAAACGAAAATATGTGGAAGATCTAGCAATGACGGCGGAAAAGGCTGCAAGAGAAGGAAACTTGAGACAATTGTACGAAACAACAAAGAAGCTCGCCGGAAACTATCGTAAACCAGAACGACCAGTGAAAAGCAAGGAAGGGAAAATAATCAGCAACACTGACGAACAGCGAAATAGGTGGGTGGAGCACTTTAAGGAACTATTGAATCGACCAGCTCCACTGAACCCACCCAACATCGAAGCAGCATTTACGGACCTCCCAATTAACATTGGCGCACCCACGATTGAGGAGATCAGTATGGCCATCAGACAAATCAAGAGCGGCAAAGCAGAAGGACCAGACAACATTCCAGCAGAGGCAATGAAAGCAGATGTGGAAGCAACTGCGAAAATATTTCACATTCTCTTCAAGAAGATTTGGGATGAGGAACAAGTACCATCAGATTGGAAAGAAGGATACCTGATCAAAATAGCAAAGAAAGGCGATCTCAGCAAGTGTGAGAACTACAGAGGCATCACTCTTCTTTCAATACCAGGCAAAGTCTTCAACAGAGTATTGTTAAACAGAATGAAGGACTTCGTAGACGCCCAACTTCGAGATCAACAGGCTGGATTTCGTAAGGATCGATCATGTACTGACCAAATTGCTACATTACGGATCATTGTGGAACAATCAATTGAATGGAACTCACCACTCTACATCAACTTCATCGACTACGAGAAAGCATTTGACAGCGTGGATAGGAAAACACTGTGGCGGCTTCTTCGACACTACGGTGTGCCTGAGAAAATAGTCAACATCATACGGAATTCTTATGATGGATTCAACTGCAAAATCGTACACGGAGGTCAGCTGACAGACTCTTTTGAGGTGAAGACCGGTGTCAGGCAAGGTTGCTTACTCTCACCCTTTCTCTTTCTCCTGGTCATCAATCGACTGGATTATGAAAACGTCAACATCTGGAGGGAAGCACGGTATCAACTGGACAGTTAGGACGCAGCTGGACGATCTGGACTTCGCAGATGACCTGGCTCTTCTATCGCACACTCAACAACAAATGCAAGAGAAGACGACCAGTGTAGCAGCAGCCTCTGCAGCAGTAGGTCTCAACATACATAAAGAAAAAAGCAAAATTCTCCGATGCAACACAACATGCACCAACCGAATCACGCTTGATGGAGATACCTTGGAGGACGTTAACACCTTCACATATCTTGGCAGCATCATCGACGAGAAAGGTGGATCGGACGCAGATGTGAGGGCGCGGATTGGCAAAGCAAGGGCTGCATTTCTACAGTTGAAAAATATCTGCAACTCCAAACAACTTTCAAACAAAACCAAAATCAGGATCTTCAATACAAATGTGAAGACAGTTCTACTGTATGGAGCGGAAACATGGAGAACTACCAAAGCCATCATCCAGAAGATACAAGTGTTTATTAACAGTTGTCTACGCAAAATACTTCGTATTCGTTGGCCAGACACCATCAGCAACAACGAACTGTGGGAGAGAACAAGTCAGATTCCAATGGAGGAGGAAATCAGGAAGAAGCGGTGGAAGTGGATACGACATACACTACGAAAAGCACCCAACTGCGTTACTAGACAAGCCCTCACATGGAACCCTCAAGGCAAAAGGAAAAGAGGAAGGCCAAGGAACACACTACGCCGAGAAATAGAGAAAGATATGAGAGGAATGAACAAACATTGGACAGAATTGGAGAGGGAAGCCCAGGACAGAGTTGGTTGGAGAAAACTGGTGGGCGGCCTATGCTCCATTGGGGGTAACAGGCGAAAGTAAGTAAGTAAGTATGTGCACAGTATTCGTTAAGATGACTGAATTAGTAGTCATTTAAACGACCCTTGAATTACTCATGTGTAAATTAGGCATAATTTACCGGAAAGCCTTGAAGTTAAGGTTAACCAAAGATTTTTGAAATAAGGCCCCACTAAGTAGATGAAGAAGTCCTGACAAGACGTAGAAAGTGTATTCAACAAGCACCCAGAATATTGAGGTTCACAAGCACACAAATTGAGTTTATTTATATATGATGGAAACGTCCTTGGGAGAGCAAAATATTAGCGCACTAAAATAATACATCAACCAATGACAGTCAATGATTTTCCTGGTGGGAAATGTAATCTCAAGGTCAACTGATCAGCCCATGCGCGTAAGCATGAAATCCACAAATAGGACCTTTATCAAATGAGTTCTGGGGATCAAACGTCCCCAACAAGTTGAAAACTGGATCACTTGTCTACAGCCTAAAAGTATTACATTTTCTGTTTGATTTAAAAGTTTCAAATGTCAACCCCAATGAGTTGGTGAGGCTAAATTATTTAAAATCAAATACTTATCCAGTGCTTTCCGATTTTCGTTGCCTCATCAGTTGATGCCACACTTTTATGAAAGTTATCTAGCAAAATTAATTCTAACATGCAAGATCTAATGTGAGCTAAATTCATCAATTCATTTTAAACCAATCTTATTTACCATCAACAAAAAGTTAGTGTATATTTTAAATTGAAATCGGCATTTCAAAGTTTAAATATAAACTAAGAAAAAAATCCTGATTTATGTTAAACATAAAACTAGTTCAAAAGTTAAGGTTTTTTTATTTACTTCATGACAGTTTATTTCAATAATTCCGGAATTGTTTAACACTATAGAAATGTTGTTAACTAAAACAATGATATATATATATATATATATATATATATATATATATATATATATATATATATATATATATATATATATATATATATATATATATGGAATACAATGAACCACATTAAAAACCCTCTTTTGACACTTTTAATAACACAGACCAAATAACTGAAAATAGAACTCTCGGGAAATCGAATGAGATGTTAATAAACAGTTTGTTAAACATTGACTATATTTCTTGTTTTGCAACGTATCGATTTAAAACTTAAAATGAAAGGAGAATATAGTGTACAATCTGATTAGGGCATACAAGGACTCAAATGAATAATCAGAATCTAGATAACATTAGCATGGATTATAAATATTGACTATCACGCTGCTCAGCGAAAAACACTGATAATTTTGCTCATAACCTGCATTTGTATTAAATTAATTATCTTGGATCTATACTATCAGTCAGTCTATCAAAATAACCATTTTTCTTA